TTATTTTCCATCGCCGTAAGGTTGCCTCTCTGTGTCTTTTCTATAAATACTTTCATGGTAGTTGTTCGGATGAGCTCTTTGCTATTGTACCTAGACTTGTTTTTTTTAATTTAAGCGCAGTACTAGACTGGCGTCAAGATATCTTCAATTTACAATTGAGCTGATTAGATGTAACCGTAAATACTATATTAACAGTTTCTTTTCTTGGACTTGTTGCTTGTGTGACTCCATTCCGGCTCCACGCTTTCCAGCCAACGTTAATCTGCAAAAAATTAAATGCAATATATATATAATTAACAAATCGGAGCCATGGTAATATTTTATATTTCGCGAGACAGATAAAATTCGATTTCGCTTCGTCAGGCCTTGCGGTTTCAAAACAATGAGTGTATTCAAAAATTCTTCCGAAAAACGAAATGAAAAACAAAATTAGCGGAAGTTGTGTTTTAAGATAGTAAGGTAAGGAGGGAGATATATGTCTCTTGGAGATAAGACGGTTGTAGCATTGACCTCTCATTCACCGGACAAGAGAAAGAAAGGAATAAAGAAAGAGGGAGAGGGAGGGGACAGAAGAGAGGAAGAGAGAAACCGGAGATCGTACACAAATCCCTATACCTACAACATACACATTTTTCTATGTACACATATAATTACACTTACACATATGTGCTTACATCCATACTCACATTCGCATCCATCTACACATGTGTTTTCACGTAAATGCGTCCACTCAGACCTATGTATACACACACATATACACCCATATTCATCAATTTATCTATTTGTATTCATAAACACTTACGCACATATTTGACTAGAACATTTCTAAATCAGTACTTAGATAACATGTAAGATGCCCTCAAATACATTACTAATCGTGTAGCTATGAAGGGGCACTTAAGAGTATTTTCCATCAAGTGACCCCAGATTTATACACAACGCTTAATCTATGCACCTACTCATGAGAGAATACGACATATAGCACACGAATACACACCTGTACCTATTTCCACAGACGGAGGCACACATGTTTGCATGTACAAAATCTATGTCCCAACACAGATACAAAAGCAAAGAAGTACCATAGTATATTCATGCATACACATACATGAAGAAGTGATATGTAAGCGTTAGATACCTAGGTAAGAGGGTTTTTGTAAAGTGAGGTCACATGTGAGGAAGAGAGGGGGGTTTTCATGAAGGATCATAGGTAGTGATTCTGCATACACACATACATACACACACATATATACATATATATACACATATATACACACACGCACACATATAAATCTGTATTTCCTCAAACATGCATATACACATATACCTATCCACGTACACATACATATACGCATGCACAAATACATGCAAAACAAGTTTGGTTTAATCTTATAGAAAATTGAAGTTATTTTAGAAATCCGAAACGGTTCTTATGTCTGCATTTGAAGACAGTTCATTTCGTCGATTAAGCAGTTCGTTGGTGTTTTCATATATGATTATTAGGATTTTCCTTCATGCATAGATCATGTCTGTCCTTGAAATTGTTGGGAGTTCGGGCCTTACATATGATCCTCCATTGTTGGATGAAGCCTCCATCAATGAGGTCACAATAGTGTTTTGATAGGGGCGTCTGCTGTCTTTGAGATTCATTATTGAAGAAATGCCGGTGACTGTAGAAACGTTCTTCCCAATTTTCCAATGAAATTCCGATGTGAACTTTTTCTGGTTTACATTTTCCTTTGGAAAAATCGTAGTCTAATATACCTCATTTTCCGAAGTGCAAATCCCTCTCTCTGGATAAATGACCCCAACACTACAGCTACAGGAAGGTTTGTTCCCCGTACCTCACTGTCGTGAAATCTTCTTAAGATATGTTTGTTGTGGGAATTATATTTTCTACGTTGACAACACATGAGTAACTGACTTTAAGATTTTTCTGTTGAATATTTTCTTCAAAAGATTTTTATTATTTAAAAAGTGTCTTTCTATTAACTTTAAAAAATATTTTCCAATGTTGATGTTGGATAACCTGCAGAGTGGTGGGTTAAACCATATTATCTTCCTTTTTCTATTTTAGATTTGTTAGGTGTATCGTTTCTCAGATTTTGTTCGTTATATAGTGAAAGTAAAATTCGTGAGACTAAACACTCAGACGTACAGGCCTAATGATATATATATATATATATATATATATATATATATATATATATATATATATATTTATGCATGTTTCATTAAATAATATAGACAAGTTTTGTCTATTTTATGTAAATTCTTTTCATATCGTCTGATAAGCTTAATAACATTATCATTAAAAGACGAAGTAAAATCACCATATTGATACATATGTTTTAATCCTGTAAGCTTTCGGCTTACATAAGCCATTATCAAAGATGAAAATTACATTATATTCTATGCGTAAATGTCCTGTTTGTTGCTGTTAAGGGGCTATATTTATAATTCCAAGTGTTGATAGTTTGGTGGGCTGCTGGATAATGTAATTTAAATTGTAGGCAGCATGTTTTCATTGATGCATGTTTCATTAAATAATATAGACAAGTTTTGTCTATTTATTTTATGTAAATACTTTTCATATTTAAATTACATTATCCAGCAGCCGACGAAACTATCAACACTTGGAATTATAAATGTAGCCTTGTGAAAGAACAAATTGAAATAGCTAAAGAAAAATTAATCACCCTTAACAGTAACAAACAGGACATTAACGCATAGTATAAAGCACCTGTTAATACCAAGCGGTCACCCATCTAGGCACTGACATGGGTCAACGTTGCTTAACTTCAATGTTCGTACGGTAGCCGATGTTTCAATGTGAGTTGGACGTAAGACGCAAGGAGAGCTAATAGCTATTTATTTATTGGGATTTTTGTCTGCAAGACTTTTATAATTTAATTTTGGAACAAGATAAAATAGAAAGAAAAACGAATAAAAAAAAAGTGGGATATTTTTGTCATTGAATGACCCAGCAGCGAACCTCACCTAACTGGCTCCTTAGTGCCAGGTCACTGAGCAGTATCACTTCTTTGCGCTAAAATGATAGCGGCACGAACGATATTAAAAATCGATCTTTTTTGTCTTGCAAACGTTGTAAATACTAATAAGAACAAGAGATTAAATATCTTAGACATACAACTGTTGTCAGTCTACCTCTGAACTTCGTCAATTCATTTCACTGCAAGCACGACAATAAAGCCACTAAGATTGAGTGTTAGAGAATATGAGAATAATTAAAAAGAAGACAATAAAAAGAACAGGAATTAAGAAGACAAAAGATAACGATGGGCATTGCATTTTTGTTAACATAGATGCTAGGCTAACAGTCTTTTATATCGCACTCTTGTTCGTAGAACTCTCTTCCGTATTCTTGCTTCCTTGTCAACTTTGTTCTTCAAAAATTTAAATGTAATGCCAGTCATTATCTTCTGGCTTCTTAATTCTTGTTCTTTTATTATCCTTTCCACTTAATAGTAGTTTGTTTTTGTTTTTCAAATTCTCTAACAACAACCCTTGCGACTTAGTGGCTTTATTGCCTTGTTTTGGGTGAAATAATTAAAATCCTCTACCGAATAAATGACCTACTAAGGTAAACTGACGACACATTATGACAGATCAAAACGATACACACGCAAGCGTATATATGTACACATGCGTATACATATATCTACATACACACGCTGACGCATGCACTTATAGACATGTGGATTACATATGTACATGTATGAACACATATATGCACACACATAAAAACGTCAAAGTAATTATTTGACCTTTAATCAAAGTAATTATAATTTAACCTTTAATCAAAGTAATTATTATTTAACTTTTTATCAAAGTAATTATTATTTAACTTTTAATCAAATTAATTATTATTTGAACTTTAATCAAATAATTATTATTTAACATTTTAATCAAATTAATTTTTATTTAACCTTTAATCAAAGTAATTATAATTTGATCTTTAATCAAAATAATTATTATTTAAGCTTTAATCAAATTAATTATTACTTGAACTTTTATATACGGCTCGTGAAAATATATTGGCTGAGCTCCTTTTTTTCATAACTCTTAATATATGACGGTGGGAAATATGATATCTGTTTCAGGCTAGTATTTAGAAATTTACCCCAACTTAGCTTAACTTATAGGAGAGATTATGTTGCGCCATATATCCTTGTTGGCACACTATTCCCGTCTTTAAAAGAATCAGCCTTACTGTTAGCAATTTACCACTTTTACCATTTGTGCAGGTGTAACTACAAAGCTCTCTCGGCTTTCAAGCTGACCCCTAATAGTTCCAGCTGGTGTCTTAATCGGCTCCCTTCGATAAGGGCGTGGTTCAGTCACGTGACACTTTGGGATCAAAAGATCAAAGAATACAAGCCGAACCAGAGATGAACCGTAGTGTTGAGCCGAAGTTGTTAAGCTTTAACTTCCTTATTGCACAACCGGAGAAAATCAATAATTTGTCGAGGTAGCAAGCGGGTCGAGATTGATAACGTCATGCCTTATCAAATCATTAAGTGAACTAGATACTTGATCGCTGCAATATACAGTTCGCTTCCTATACTGACATCAGTTCACCGCACCGAGCCTGGCTTTATGAAAGTCGTTGGCTCCCGAATATGCTTTACTCTTTCTCCGCGTCAATAAATCAAGCAAATCATTGTTACTACTTCTAGGATTTAGTCAAAATACCGTTAATATAAAAGGTAAATAAGAAAAAATTCAAACTTTATAATTATTTTCTTGGTATGAATTCAGACCTCATTGGATTAAAACTGAAGTTTCAAGTTAATGTGTAGGTAACAAAAGCGTATGTGTAAATTTTGTTCATGTCTTTCAACTCTCAAACAGTGCATGTGGTTCTTACATTAAGCAAGATATTTGATCGCAGTAATGTACGTTTCGCTTGCTACACTGACAGCAAGTCATCGTGCTAAGCCTGGCTTTATGAAAGTTGTCTCAATATTGTCTCCCGAATGGCATTACTCTTTTTCCGGGCCAATAAATCAAGCAAATCACTGCTACTTTTCGGATTTAGTCAAAATACCGTTTCATTATACAAGTTCCTTTACCGGACGGCCGTTTCAAACAAAGTCAAATGTTATAACATGAAATTACATTGATTTTATGAATAATATGGACTAATATTTGAAACTCTTACTTTGACCTCGATATTTCTACTAATGCACTCTTTACCTTTTACTGATTACAAAAATGAAATTTAGTCAAATAAATACATCTTTGTTTTCGAACTGCAATTTTTTTATTAACCCAAATATTTTTTTTATTCTTTTCACCCCAGTCTAGACAATAAAGCCACTAAGACGCAAGGGGTTACTGAGTGTTATAGAATATGAGAAAAAGTCAATATTAAAGAGAAGGGACAATAAAAAAACAATAATTAAAAAGACAGAAGATAACGATTGGCATTGCATTTTTTGAAGATAAAAGTTGACTCGGATGCAAGATACCGGAAAAGATTTCCTCAAGCTAGAAGTGCAATAGAAGAAAGTTTTGCATAGAACTTGCAGTAATTTCAACTGTAAAATGTAACTTTGTCCCCAATCTAGTACTGCACTTAAATTCATTTTATCAAGAATCTTAAAATATATAGCAATAGCACCAGACCAGATGTGGTTGGAATATTCAAATCCAGCATGAATGTTAGAGTTATAGATATGTAAGAAGAGAAAAAATGTCTCGCATGACACAGTGAACCAACTTTCCTATCAGCAGACCTAGCCGTTAATTCAATATAATCTTTCCACTTTATGTCAACGGAAAATGTTAGTCCGAGAAGGCACAACAAGTCACTCTCCTGGAGGTTAGCATCAGCCATGCTGACTGAAGATAACTGTGAGTGTGTAGTTTAGCGGGGAGCTTTCTTTCGCAAGAATGGGAGATACTCTTTCCCCTCTTGTGCAAAAAGCTTCTATCTCTTCCTGTCATCCGGTTTTTCCACGACTGTATTTTCTAAGGGCTGCAGAATCAACCACCTGACATTCTTCGAGACGCTACTCTGCCTCTAGTGAGTATGATGATCTTATCTTTCAGGTCAGCCCTCCGTTTCAAACGTTTACTCTAGTGTAAAAGTGAATGCAAAGTCTATTTGATATCATTTAGGGTACGCCTAGTATATACTGTGTTGCGTTGCATATCGTTACTGACTTTAGACCGTCGAAACCTAACGCCACTTCGTAGGCTTTATCAACGAGAAACGGTTTCTTTTTCTTATTCTTTTTACAGGGATACAAAAGTGACAGACGTGGAAGCATCGCTTCCAGAAGGCAGCGGGAGGAAGAACCTCAAGCGTACCCATGCCTGCTTTTTTTTTTATCTTAGCGTCACTCCATGTGCGGCCTTAGCCTGTCTATCGAACCTGGGTGTGGGAAGCTTATCGACGTTTCAAAATTCCTTCACTTCTTTCATTCTTCTCTCTTCCCTTTTGTTTCTTTCTTTACTTTTTCTTTATTATTTGTTTATTTCATTCTTTTCTTCTTCTTTCTTTACTTCATTCTTTATTTCTTTCTTTCTTATCTCCTCTTTTATTTCTTTATTTCTTTCAGTCTTCTCTCCTTCTTTCTTTTCTTTTTTTTCTTTACTTTCTATCTTTATTCCTTTCTTTATTGCTTTCTTTTCTTCTTTCCTTTTTAATTCTTTCTTCATTTTGTCTTTCTTCATTTTTACTTCTTTCTTTTCTGTATTCTTTCTTTACTTTTCTTTCTTTCTTTACATCTTTCTTTATTGACTTCTTCACTACTCACTTTATTTACTTCTTTCTTTCTTTCTTTACTTTTCTTTCCTTATTTATTTACTTCTTTCTTTCTTTCTTTACTTTTCTTTCCTTATTTATTTCTTTTTCTTTCTTTCTTTTCTTTCCTTATTTATTTACTTCTTTCTTTCTTTCTTTCTTTACTTTTCTTTCCTTATTTATTTACTTCTTTCTTTCTTTCTTTACTTTTCTTTCCTTATTTATTTACTTCTTTCTTTCTTTCTTTACTTTTCTTTCCTTATTTATTTACTTCTTTCTTTCTTTCTTTACTTTTCTTTCCTTATTTATTTACTTCTTTCTTTCTTTCTTTACTTTTCTTTCCTTATTTATTTTACTTCTTTCTTTCTTTTTCTTTACTTTTCTTTCCTTATTTATTTACTTTTTTTTCTTTCTTTACTTTTTTTTTCCTTATTTATTTACTTCTTTCTTTCTTTCTTTATTTTTTTCTTTCCTTATTTATTTACTTCTTTCTTTCTTTCTTTTTTTTTCTTTCCTTATTTATTTACTTCTTTTCTTTCTTTCTTTACTTTTCTTTCCTTATTTATTTACTTCTTTCTTTCTTTACTTTTCTTTCCTTATTTATTTACTTCTTTCTTTCTTTCTTTACTTCTTTGATTCTTTCTCTTTTTCTGTATTTGCCTCTCTACATATTGTAGATTAAAGAGTGCATGTGTGCGCATGTGCGTATCGACGGCCATTAAAACGTCTACGCATGCCCGTGTTCTCTGCTTGCGTCCGTACTGCCTGACTGCTCACAGTATTTTCTCTACTTCCAGACGATTCACCGTTTCTATCTTCTTTATATATATATATATATATATATATGTGTGTTTCTTGTCGCTCCGACAGCCAGTACAGCCCACGGCCACTTTGATCTCTTTTTATACTTTGCATCACGCCTCTTTTCATAGAGTAACATTAAAACCAATAACCCGTACACAGCACCGTTTGAAAGACTATAAGCCGATCATAAATAAGTCTATTAACTTTAAATAACTTTTTCACCGGCTGCTAGAAATGAAAGCGTTGGAGTCGGCGGTTGTGTAAAGTAGACGTTTGAAAAGAAATCGGACCAGATGAAAATTCAATGTAACGTGCGCGTGATCTTGTCGATGTTATTACCAGTGATGATGGGGAAATACAAGCTGCTGATATCTAATGTTATCAATAAGAAAAGAAGGTTTTGCATCGAGAGTAACATCATTGAAAGCGGAACACGAAAAGAATTTATTGAATGGGTTTACTAATTAGGTGAGGATTAATGATTTCTTGCAGAAATTCTGGGACGAACGACTTTCATTATTTACATACAATCGGACTAATATCCTGATCATTATGGATACGATCATTAAGTTTCGGTTAGATGTCGTCTTTTATGCCAGTGAATGATGGACATTCTCCTAACGGATGTGAAAATTAATAAATGCCTAAGTGTATTACAATAATTTCTCAATTTGTGTTATGCATTAGATTGTTCTGAAAATAATGGCAAAATTTGGAATCAACGTTTATATCAGTTAAGATAACAACCTTGAACATCTATATATTTCTTTTATCAAATACAAGGTTATTTATGCCTTTACATTAAAACTTTAAAAGTTTGGACGCCATTAAGTCTTTGGGTGCAGTCTCTGCATCTTCTTCACAATGAAATGCCTTTTGACTTTAAAAATTGTCAAGATGCTCGAAAAGTGGTTATTCAGTAGGCTAAAAATCAGAGGAATATGGCGGACGTGGCAGTCTCGTATTCCAAGACGGTGACCTTCTGTAACATATGCCATGAAGCAGAATTGAACCTCGTCGATTAACCAGCACCGGTCGCAGTTGGCTGGACTGAATGTAAATTTTCGTTGGTATGCCCCGTTTAGATTCCAGAATGTTGTAGTGTATAACGCAATGTCGGGCCAGTAGACAGTCACCATAATCGTCACCTGGTGCAATTTCGGCTTTGAAAAGTGTTTGGTCTCTTCGTCATGATCAAGCCATTAAGCCGATCGTTTACATTTGTCAAAAAGGATCACATTTCTCATGAAAAGTCACTTTTCGATCAAAAAATGGATCATTAGAATTTCAAAGATACTAACGCGAACACACTTTAAAACATCGAACTCTTTGACTTTCACTGATTTCAAGTGGAACATTAATCGAGTTTCGAGTTTTTAATGTCGATTGTCAATTGCAGATAGATGTCCTATACCACCTTGATCTTCAAGGCTTGCATTCCCACTGCAGAACTCCAGAAACGATCCTTCATTCCATGGTCCATTAATGCTGGTAATAGTTTGGCAAGCATTATTACCAAACTTGAACTCATGCAAAAATGAAGTAAACGCATCTCTTAAGATAAAGAGTATATAATATATTAAGTTAGATTTTGAAAGATATTGATATAAAATTAATAAAGAGGAAATTTTAATCATTGGGAATGAATAATGTATTTTTCTGCAATCTTTATAATATTATATTAGAACACAAAAGGTTTATTTTAAAATCGCACATATTTTCCGAAAGAATCTAATATGTAAAATGATTTATCGTCCATATAACATTCACTACGTGAATTCCTGGCTTGTTTCTATGATTTTCATTATTGTGTTATTGTAAAAAATAAAACGGGGTTTTCGCCCAATTTTCTACCGATCGGCCAATAGCTAAAAAACCGGGAAGGGGTCCGTTGCATGTTTACACTGAAACAAATGATGAAAACAAAGAATGCGGCCATAACCGGGTATTGAACTCACACTCTTTGGGTCTGTCACTGGATCTAACCTCAAGGACACATGGCACAGTGGATAAAGTCGTTGGTTAGATCCAGTGACAGACCCAAAGAGTGTGAGTTCAATACCTGGTTAAGGCAGTGGAGAACTTTCAGAGGGACAGTTAGCAGGAGATAACTGATAACTGACATCCATCAAACATGGCACGTAGAACTAGAACAGTCTACCCCAGTGATCGAAATAAAGGGTTCAGTTCGAAATTCCAACCACCTGAAGAAGGCCGGAGTGTACAACGGCCGAAACGTTGTGACAAATATGGCGACAAAGATGAGGACAATAGTCCGACTAATGCTAAAGAGAGACAGTAACACTGAAAACATTTTAACAAACCCCATACCAATATTTGTAATTCACATAACAAAAAAATAGAAATGTCAACATGTGTCTCGAGTATTATTGTTTATGTTATTTTTGTACGTTTTAATTCGTATCGTTTAAAGTATAAAAAAGTAAGGATTCCGCTATCTACTACTACTACAAATACATTTAAAAATAGGTAACTTATACAACACAATAAATCTACAAGCATCATAAGAAAATACAACTAAATATACAACTGAATCATTGTGTTGCTCTTTATGTCAATGATGAAAATTAGAGGAAATCTATGAACAAAACAACTTGCGGCATTACTGTGCCCACTTATGACATCCACTAGTCTCAGATAAAATGGAAACGTTAACTATATGAAAGATTGAAAATGGAATCGGCGAAATGAGTTCAAACTCCTGCTGAGGTCGTTTGCGTTCACTTCGGACTATAAACCTTGGAAAAGGCATCAATACACCTCAATATATCTATTGAAAGTAACTCTAATGTCAGATATGCAGTGATACGTACCAACAGAGCTGAAAATGTGTCGGAAAGTACCTAGCATGGTACCGCAACTATTTGGCTGCCCACTCGTCTATTTTCAGGGTGTTCGACGATATAAACACAAAATGCAACAGATATATATCGCCATTTCGACGCCATCTGTATTTGCTCCACGTCTAAAAGGCCACATTATTAGTTTGTCGATATAACACAATATGAAACACAAACATATCTCCATTTCGACGCCATTTGTATTTACTCGAGATCTAAAACCTACATTATTAGTTTGACGATATAACACAATATGCAATGCAAATATATCGCCATTTCGACGCCATTTGTATTTGTTCCAGGTCTAAAAAGCTACATTATTAGTTTGACGATATAACACAATATGAAACATAAATATATCGCCATTTCGATGGCATCTGTATTTTCTCCAGGTCTAAAAGCCACATTATTAGTTTGACGATATAACACAATATGAAACATATATATATATATATATATATATATATATATATATATATATATATATATATATCGCCATTTCGAAGCCATCTGTATTTACTCCAGATCTAAAAGCTACTTTATTAGTTCGGCGATATAACACAACATGAAACACAGATATATCACCATTTTGTCGCCATCTGTATTTATTCCAGGTCCAAAAGGCTACATTTTTTTCTTAACAGAAAAATGTTAATTGCTTTTAGTATTCCATCTTGATCCGTGGCTGTACAACTTGACGCTCCAGTTTTCGATATTCTATTTCGTTATAAATAAGAATCCATTGATTCCTTAGAGATTACTCCTTTTAATGTTGTTATTATACCATTATTTCATATTAGTTATTTAGAAATGCCGTATTATGAATACAAATCCATTGATCCCTTAGAAATTGCTTTGTGTATGTTTCGGATACGAAAATAAACATAACACATATTGGCTTCCAACTGTCTTAATGTGAGATGCATTTACTTTCATGAGAGTACCTCAACCATTGCTCACTGTGAATGACAGAATGATCTAAAAGCATATACACGAGCCTGGAATAAGAGGTATTGTAATGTTGGGTGTGCGGTTGGTGTAATGGATAATGGCGCCGAATTATTAATCTGAGTTCTAATTCCAGTTGGGTTTGTTATATACACTTGCGCGCAAATACCCTTGGGAAATGTATGAATCCACTTCCCCCTAGTTATGGGTTAATTAGTAAGACTTGTATGCATAAATCATTAAAATCCCAGAAAAAAAGTGAAAAAAAATGAAAATATTCTTACAGTATAAAAATATTTTCTGGTTTTGAGTAATATGCAGAGAGAGGATAAGATAGAATATGCATCAATCAATCGAATATATACTAGTTTCCCCTACAAAACAAAGACGCAGTTTCTCACATTGCAGAAGAGCAACTATCCTTTATTAAAATAGTCTAGAAAACCCAACCGGTAGACGATAATTATACTCTCTAATAAAATAAAACAAAACAGAGATGTCTACTCAAGCACGTGTATATATACTAAATATAGCGTATAGATAAATAAAAATTGTGTCATGTAGGTAGAAGAATATGGTTCAATTAATTTTTTTTTAAAATAGCGTTTAAAAGTCCCATAATTAAATAAATAAATAAACGAATGAAATTGTTGCAAGTTTACCTTTGAGATCCTCCTCTTTACTTTTGCGCAGCGCAAGCTAAACAAACACACTTTCCCAAATAGCACTTCTTTGCGTCTGTTTGCTCTATATATGCGTCGTTGAGTATTTGCTTTTAGGCATGTTCAGCTTCGCGCCTAATGGTTCATATCTAAACATGCCGGAAGTATTGACCATTGAAAATGTCCATTTCTGTCTGTCTCGCTTTGTTCGTCTATAGGAATTTCAGCTCTTTGTCCATTTGGGACCAGTGTTTAGAGAGCCGACACTTAATGATAGCAACCATTACACGAGGCCGGAACTTAGATCGGTGAAAAAAGGTTTCAAATGAACCACTCCTATCGATTTTGTCATATCGGAGTATCGCTCCCTAATGTTCCTTGTCTCTCCTTTTCCAAAACTTTTGATA